CCTGGTCACAGCTGACAAGGGATGTTTGAAAGTCAGCTGTGGGTCCAGGAGGACTCCCAAGTTGCGGACCCTGTCTGAGGGGCATTTCCTTCCTTCACTTTCCCCTTCCCTTTCCTTCTTTCCTTTCCTTTTTGTCCTTCCCCTTCCTTCCTTCCTTTCCCTCCCCTTCCCCTACCCCTTGCCCCCCTCCCTCCATTCATTCCTTCCTTCTTTCTGTTTCCCATTTTCCTTCCTTCACTTTCCCCTTCCTCTTTCCCCTTCCCCTTCCTTTCTTTCCTTTTTGCCCTTCCCCTCCCTCCCTCCCTCCCTCCCTTCCATTACCTCCCCTTCCCCTACCCCTTGCCTCCCTCCATCCCTTCCTTTTGGGGAAGGGTTTGCTTCACTCTCATTTTAAAAGACAGGGGGGAAAAAACAAATGTAGGTTTAAATTACAAGGACTTATACTGTGGTTGGACATCAGGAAGAACAGTAAGGGATTTTCAACAATGTAATTGGATACTTCATGAGATGGTGGACTTTCCTTCACTGGGCATGTTTGAATAGAGGGCTGGATGGCCATCTGTCTTGGAGGCTGTATTAGTAGATTTGTGCACTGGGCACCAAATGCTTCTCTTTCATCTCTCATATTGTATGATTCTATGAATCAAACTTGGCCTTGGGATTATCCCAATTATTTTATTGTTGTTCAGACAATAAGTCATCTCTGACTCTTTGAAATCCTATGGTTCATAGCAGAGTAGGCTCCCCTGTCCTCCCCTGTCTTCTGGAATTTGCCCAAATTCATGTTCAGTGTGTTGATGACCCTATCTAATCATCTCATCCTCTGCCTTCCCATTTCCCTTTTGCCTTTAATCTTTCCCTACTTCACGATCTTTTTCCAATGAAAAAAGAAGGACTAGGGGTGACAGGACAGCAGTATTCCAGTATTTGAAGGGCTGCCACCAAGAAGAAAGAACCAGCCTATTCTTCAAAACACCAGAAGGCAGGACAAGAAACAATGGATGGACACTAGTCAAGGAAAGGGAGCAACCTAGATCTAAGGAGAAATTTCCTGACAGTTAGAACAATTAACCAATGGAACAAATTGCTTCCAGAANCCCTTTCCTCCCCTTCCCCTCCAATCATCCTCCCTCCCTGCCTCCCTCCCTTCTCTTTTCTCCTTTCCTTTCCTTTCCTCCCCTTCCCCTTCTCCCTTCCCTCTCCCTCCCTCCCGTAGTGGAAT